TCTCTCTCTCTCTCTCTCTCTCTTTAACTGGCAGACTGGTGAAACTATCATTGTGGTACCAGACTGTCTGCTGATGAGAAAGACATGCGACGTTTTCTAAGCTAAAGGGACTCGAGACGGTAACAGTGTTTCGGTTAAACTGGCGCGGATATTTAAGTTGAAGATTATACTTTATAAATATAAGGTAGTTATAGGTAAGCATTTGATGAAATGAGTCACGGATATTTATATAATTTAATAATAAACATTCAGGTAAACGTCCTATTTACTAAATAATACAAGGCGAAAATTACAAATTGCTTGCAATTTTTAAGTATATAAACACTCAGGTATCATACTTTTTTAGAAAGCCTTAATCATTAACCTCGTGAAAGCGATTACCTTTCATTTCGAGATCGTCACTAAACCAGTATACTAGTTTCATCCTAATAAAATCATATTAAATTAACGCTATTTTTTAATTTCTCTAAAATATTTTTCCGAAACAGGTTCATTGCGTTGAACGGATTTTTATGGGCGCAATCAGAGAAAAGGAACCGAAAAGGAATAGAAATTTGTTTCATCCATTAACTATTGCGACAAGTATTTTGCTTTGGATATTTTCTATACTTTTGCATATTATATTCTACGCTGATCAAAGTGAGTTTATTGGTATTCTTCACAGAAATTTCACAGATATACAGGAAACCTCATTTCCGTTAAATATTTAGAGCTCGTATTTTCATGCGCAATTTAACTTCTCTGGCCCGTTTTTCATACTTCAGCCGTCGGTGGTTCGAACTTGCGATTAAATTTTCTCATAAATGCGTAAAAATTCGCAGCCTGTTTATCAGTGATCAGCGTTATTCTGACCTCGCCAGAATCATTTCGAAATAATTACCGCGACACGCCACGTCCAGAAAGAATTAAGGACTCTTGTACACGTCGATCCTATTAATAATGTAACAAGATCTTTGCCGGTGTTTTTGCAAAATATTTTCCGATCGGGTTCACGGCGACCGGCTCTCGCCCCGATTTGCCAGTGCGTGTACACTTTGTCAAAAATCGTGCGAAACAAATCACGAGGAACGAACCGGTTTACGTGCACGCATTCCGGTTGGCAGGGTAACTGCTCGGCTAATAGACGGGCAGCGTTATTAGCGGCTAATTGCGCGTTTTGTCCCGTTTGTTAATGAGTTCGAGCGCATTTTGATTGATCGCTCGTCGAACATCGACTGTTTCGCCACGTTAAATGCCATTGTTTGCTCCTCTTTCAGAAGCTTTTCAACCGAGCCAATGGACAAGGCCCATTCGATAGACTCCGTTGGTTCCTTTTTAAGGCGTCTCCTGCGTTTCGAGCCATTCAGAAACTCAAGTGGAAATCCGAGGTGTTCTTGTTCCTGTTGGTCACGTTGCAAGGGCTACACTTCGCGTACAATCAGCCGCAGAAGTTTACGCACGTTCGCCCAATCTCAATGTTTCAGATACGAGGATTTCATTGGCACTGCTTTATTCGTTTAGGATTTTCGTACGAACGTGTCTTTCCATTTTTCTCTTGTGTGCTTTTAAACAAATTAAAGAAACATTAAACGAGATCCATAAATCGAGTTAAAGTTATGGAGACTTCCGTAGAAATGTGTTTTTTAAAGAAATGTCAATTGGCATCCATCGATGTTTTCGTTTGATAAATCTGTACGAGTTGAAGTTACAGAGATTTTCCATTTTAAACAAATTCAATCGAGATCCATAAGTCTTTTGTTTCAGTAAATCTCATTTTGTTTAAATATATTTGAAATTCGACAAATGTACGTAGACTTTTGTGACTCTAAAGATTGTTTTACGTTGCATGGTACATACATTTTTCTCGTTCAACGTTCATTTCCATCGTGTGTTTTATTTCTTCTGCAACCGATTCTCGTTAACGAGGAACGATCAGAAACGCCAAAATTCGGGACGCGTATATCAAAGCTTTTTCTCGTTCGGGTAATTACAAGAGAAAGGCCAGGCGATATCGCGATACAAGATCACGTGCATTTCCATTCGCCTGACCGGTGTATATACTCGCTAATCGAGACTCTGGGGACCAAGCAAACGAGACCGTGGCGAGACACACCCGGTTGATTAGTCACCGGTGGAAAGGATCGACGTGTCAATTCGCTCGATATAACAATGACAAATGCGATTTATTCGATTTTATCGAGGCAAAAAACGAGGAAAATTTATCGAATGTCTCTCGATGTCAACGGATGATAATGGCGATCAGACGTGTCGACTGGAGCAATGTTCATTTTTACTCGGACAAATAACCAACGTGTAATTCTATTTCTGCTGAGATTTTGTAGAATTTTTATAGAACTTTTATACAGATAGAGATTTTTATAGAATTATGTATATAAATACATTATATATTTTTTTACTTTTTATATTATATTATACACGCGTTATCGAAATGGAAATTGCGGAATATCGCAGATCTATTGTGTTTTAGTATTCCAATATTTTAATTCTATCGAATTTAATACTATCGAAAACACGATAAATCTTTCCAACAATTTTGTCGTGTTTTAATGCTCCAATTTTTAGATTTTTGAAACTTTTTACCCAACCTTTAATTAAATTGCCTCTTTATAGAAAATGTCTCGTTACTGATACAACAAGCCAAAATATTAATAAACACAAACAAATTAATCCGTCTTAAAACGTAACGTCATTTTCAAAACAACAACTACTGTTTTATTTACTATTACTAATATTTTATGTAACATTAAAAATTATCTCGTGTGATAGTATCTCGTCGCGACACGAAGGGACTTCAATAAACGAAACGCTGACGAATCGCAGACTGTCAAGTTCGCGGTACATCGTGATGTCGGTTGTTTGCGAACTGGTATCATCCGGCACACAGTCGTTTTATTAATGTCAACGAGGAGAGATTAAGAGGTGTGGTTGGCAGACTTGCCAAAATAAAGATATCACGAGATAAATAAACCTCGAGTCCCTGCAATACTGCATTTATATCATATCAACGTGGAATTTTCTCATGGAAACAATTTGTTCTTCAATCGTCCGCAGATGAGCTTCAGTCCCTTTTCAAAATTGAATTTTTCGTTCATGATTGTTCCGAAATATTAAGTCAACAAAATTAACATAGTCTGAACGGTCCTTTTCTCAAAGATACTGAATCGGGGGATCTTTCTAATGACTTAGATGGGCGAAACTGGTACAGCAATCTGAAGATTGCAGAATTCTACCCTTCCACATCGACTCTCTCGATAAAAGCAGGCGACCGGCAATACTGCTATTGACAAATGGATGCAAGTTGTCGCGCGACAGTCCACCACGTCACTTGGCTCGATAATAAACGACGATAAGCCCGGCATATAAGGGCGTAGGCGATGAAAATACACTCCCAAAGCCACGACAAAGAAAAGAAAATCATATCTTCCGCAAATAAAAACCATTGGAATTTTCCTCCGAGTGGCGATTCCACGGTGGGATGCGGAGTTCGCAAAATGACGACGAGAGTAGAAAAAGAAAAAGAAAGAAAAAAGGGAAAAAGGGATCAGAGAAAGGAGAAGAGGAGGAGAAGAAGAATCGAGGCAGGCCAGGGTCCGGCATACGGACGACGTCGGTTGTATTTATCGACGCAAGTCGTCCACCTATGTTCCTCGAGGTTACTCCTCTCGGTGTCCTCGTTTATCTAGAGCCCGGACCTTGTCCCCTGTTCTTTCTTCTCCTCCGTGGCCGAAGAAGCATAAAAGCGGCGTCTTTTGAGGGGGAGAAACCGTGGCAAAAAAAGGGCCGGGGAACACGGCGAGCAACCGTGTTAACTGCGCTGCTTATGCATTCATATCCTTGTTTCGCGACAACCTGCTGATTGTTTCCACAAAACGCGACAAACCCCCTTGTACCCGTGTCCGCAGGCCGGTTTTTCGGTGGCCAGCCACACCGGACACGCACTAGCTGCCGCCCCGGACGCGAAGACGCAGCAACACCGGCAAAAAGGATCAATTTGTATGCGGGTGAACGCTTCGACACTCGATTTCTCTCCCCCTTGGTCCTCTCCGCCATGCCGTGTATATACGTCTGTACGACAATGGCCACGGGGGCTGATCCTCGTGAACAATCGAGGAACGCACTATCGATGAGAGAACGTCAGCATAGACGCAGGAACGATCGAATCGCGCTTCCTTTATTTCAACGTTATTAAATTTTCATAATTTCGATCGAGAAAATTAGTCTTGAAATTGTCTGTTGATGTAACTGACAAAGTGTTGGATGTACAATAGAAGAAATAGGATTATATTTTCACGTAACCGGTTGTTGGGAGGTTAATACGAAAGGGACCGGTTTCAAATGTGTGATGAATCCGATGAAATTATATAAATTCCAGATTTGTTTCGGACTTTTACTCGATGGAAAATTTTATCTCTCTATATAATTGGAATTTTATTTGTTATTATACGTGTTTGCAAAAATTCGATTCAATTTTAGTTTAAGCATTCGAGATACTCGAGAAGAATAATCAAAAGAATACATTTTTAATTTCAATGTATAATCCCAATTTATTTCGAAGTTCTATTTGCTGGAAAATTTTATCTCCCTACGTAACCAGAAATTCATTTGGTATTATATTATACATTTGTAAAGGTTTAGTTCAATTTAAACGTCCGAGATATTCAAGAAGAATAACCAAAAGAACATGTTTTCAATTTGTGTTTAATTCCAATTTGTTTCGAACTCTTATTTGATAGAAAATTTGATCTGTCTGTAACCAGAGATTTACTTGGTATTGTACATTTGCAAAAATTTAATTCAATGTTAATTTCAACAACTCGGAGATACTCAAGAGGAATACGAGTATGTCATTAATTTGTTGTAATTTTAGTAAGTACCCGAGAGATTAATGAATCGGGATCGTGGAATCTGAAGGGTGGATCGTGACGTTTGTCGAAACGCGAGGCGTACAGGGATCGCGCGGCGCCAGCCGTGGCAATAAACGAGCGTAAAGTACGACCAGGCGATTAACATAAATTAACGTTATTTGCCTGAGTGTAATATTTCTTCGCGTTGCATATCGCGTGCGTGATTTATCGTAACGAGGGATCGCGCGGGACACACGTCGCCGGGGAGAGTCGGCTCTCGCGCGGAGAGAAAACAAAGAGAGAAAAGGTAGAAAACTGTTGGATGAAATACGGCGTAGTAAGTTGCAGCGCGTTAGAATCTCTTCGTAAGCTGTACGTGCCCAGAGCTAACGGTGATACACCTCGTTCCCCTCTCCGTCTCTCGTTCTTCGCTGTCAGCTCTTTCGTCAGCGTTTCTTTAACATGCACCACTCGCAGGCACGCGTTATCTGTCTCTGGTAGAAAAAACTC